GTTGAATACCTAGCTGTCAGAAAAGTGTGCACTGGAAGATATTTAACAAAAATGTGTCATGACCAAAATGTAAGCATGAAGACTAAAGCGTAAGATAAATGGAAAAATTAGCAGGTATAAATGTTTTGTTGGAAAAGTCGTCTGAGATTTTTTTTTTCCTCCTGGGGAATAAAAAAGGCCAAAGAGCTGTTCAATCTCTAAGACTACAGATTCCCAACAGTTCTATCAAAAACTATTTAAAACTCAAGGAAAAAAAAATTATTTGCTTTTAAAGGCTGTCAAGTTAGCACTTATTGGTACTTGCAAGAATTATAAAGAGAAATAGTCCAATTCTACATACTCTGAGTTTTCTCAATTGCTAGCTGCCCAGGCCCTGAGCCAAGAAACTTTATGACAATCTCTTTCTAGCTTTTCAGGCAAGCATATTAGAAAAGGCGTTATTCCCACTTTAGGGATCATAATGATTCTTATTTTACAGGTTAAGTATGGCTGACAAGTATCAAATTTGTACTACATGTGCCAGGCTAAAAACATTATATGTAACAACACATTTACTGGCACAGAAAGATTAAGCAATGTGTCCAGAAATACAGCTAGCAAAGCTAGGGTAAAAAGGAAAACTCAGCAAGGTTAGGCAACTCCAAAGGCACAAAGTTAACCATGGAGTCAGCTGTCTGTCCTTCACGCCTCTGGCCTGTGCTCCTTCTACTAGGTACCTTAGTGCATCTGCCTGCACAGGCCCAAGGTTAAATGCCAACCTACTAAAGGTTGGTAGAACTGAGGGTATTGCCTAGAGCAACCTGAGGAATACAGATGCCATCTAAACTAGCCAAAGAAACCCATTTTTTTAAGAATGTATTTATTTGTGCATACAGAACTGGGGTACAGGGCAGAGGTGCAGGGGTGGTGAGAGGATTCCCCAGAGACAGAGTAGGGAGCAGAACAGGCAGATTGGTGAAGTACGCTGCTGAGGGGAGCAGCGGGCAGGTCAGGAGAAGTCTGCCGCGCCATGTGGATCACCTGGGCTAGGATCAAACTCAAGCTGAAGTTGCTTTAGCTTCTCAGTGCTGTGCTTTAACCCGCTGTGCCACCAGGGAGGGCCCAGATATCAATGCTTAAAGAGACCAGAGATACCTAGATCGTGATATAAATTCTCCAGATTATTCACTATTACCTCTTTTTCTAAAGTGCCAAACAAAACACATCCCTGGGCTATCAGTTTACAAGTGCTCTTATGAAGAGTCTTAAGTCAAAGATGAACTGTCTCCTGTCCCAAATGTCAGAAATCACAGCTGCTAGTCAGGCTTACTCACAAATCCTTTCAACAAGGATATGCACTGGGCTTGCCTGGCCCTCTTCGCTGTGGGTGTGCAGTCATAAATATCTACTCAGGTTCTAGAAACTGCATATGAAACTTTGCCTAAGATTCCTTCAAGTATCTTTCAAACTTTTTTAAAGTTATCACATATGAAGGCAGCAAATTAAAGTCCCAAGTCCTAGCCTTTGACCATTAAACTAAAATTCATTCAGAAGAAAATGCTGCTGTGGTCTTGAACATGGCATTGAGGGGTCCCAGGTGTGTCCAACCTCAAGAACTCAGCTCACAACAGCACAGCTCATTTCCTGATGTCCTTTAATCAGCGAGAGAGACTTGAGGAAATGAGTCAAAATACTTCGGTCAGCTTCTGGCTGTCAACAAAATTCATCAGTCCAACATCTGTCCATAAACACTTCCAGGGAAGCCCAGGATATGCTCGGCACATTCCTACAAGAATTGGCTTGGAAGAAGAAAGGCTGCATGGGGCCATCATAGCTCATCCAGCTCCAGAGGGTAAATGGCCAATTTCTCATTGGGGGGTGGGGGGATGTTCTCTTTCACAAACATGCCCCAAGTATCTAGTGATGTTGAGACCATTTTTATCTTCTGAGTAGGGGATGGAAAAATTTTCAACTGACTTAAAGTCAGTTGAATTTGAACTGCTTATCTTTATTTCTGAGGAACTAGCTGGAATAGGACAGCTAACATCTATAGGCCTTTACCACAAGGTCAAGTGCCTCTGCACCTCCAGGGAAGTTGTAATTTAATGACTCTCCTTAGTGATTACCTCAAATTGAGAACACTTTAGACATCACAAGGCAAGCAAGGTTAGGTTTTTTGGTTTTGTTTTTTTTTTCCTCACCCAAATAGGGATAGTAATGTCTTTAGCTATGCATTATTCCCCAAACTTCCAACCAAACCTGGTTTACATTAAGTATTCATTAAATATTTCCAAATGAATCTCACTTTACAATTCTGACAAGTCGTGGGAATATACATTTGGACATATGGGGAGCCCATGCCAGGCTTCATCCTGGATTATTCTGGGAAAGTACCTTACCCTCAGCAGTTTCTCCAGCTATAAAATGGCAGGAATGAGCCATAGTAATAATAATACCAAGGACTGCTGAAAGGATGGGAAATGTGAGGTAAAGACCCCATTCTGATGCAGTTTCCAACGAAAGTGAAACTACAACTTACAACACACATAATATGAAATTTTAGGCACATTAGCAATAGCATGTTGTAATAGCACAGTGTGCATGCCTTATAAAGCCTGAGAATAATATGTGCATGGGTGGGAAAACCAGAATAGCTATCAAGGAATATAAGACCATCATATTATTTCCAACAGTATAATAATCCAGAAGGTTCTCTGTCCAGCTGCTGAGAATGACTCTCTAGCCTCACACCTGCAGGAACAAGGGGAAGGCATGATTCACTATTTCTTGTAAGTTCATCCTACTAGGCACAGAATTTGTAAATGGGGAAGGGGGAGTGCAGGGGAAGTGGGGGAAGTGGAGTGGAGAGGAAGTTTTCCCTAGAGAACTGGCACCTCCTCATTCTCAAAGGGAAACTGTAGGTGAAATTGTGTGCATGGAGAAGGTGGCATGAATCATACGCCCATGCAAGGTGCACAGCAGACCAGGAGAGGCATCCATTGGACTATCAAGGAGGTGAACAGAAACTGAGAAAGAGTTGAGGTAAAGTATAGTCTGAGCTCTGAACACAGAAAGAGGAAAATTTTGGACCTACGGGATCCTTCAAAAGTTGCTTCATTGTCCTCATAAGGAAATAGGGCTCCCCAGTATTTAAATGACCTGCCCAAGGGCACACAGCTAATCAAAGGCTGAGAAAGGAAGAACCAGGAGGGCAGGGCAAGGCTTTGTCACTCACTACAGACCTTAGAATTCCCTTTGTACTGGCTGAAGCAGGATAATCATGATGATGAAGGAAGTGATTGATTGATTGATTTCATTTTTAAAGAGGGTAATAGTGTGTGGGGCTGCCTTTCCAGTGCCCTCTCCCCTGGTAGGCTGACATACCTGAACTGAAATTACAGACCGCCATTATCCTGTAGGTAAGTGCCAAAGATGTCACTGAAGCTCAGACAAATCCCACAAGGAATGCCACACTCAGAAGGGTCTAGAGGCAAGGTCTCGCCCTCCTGCCTCGCCCCCCCAGGAAAGCCCTCACAATAGCTCAGGAGGGGGTTAGCTGCTTGGGCACTTTTGTAAAAACTGACCAGTCGTCGTTAAAGTCTTACAATAGTTCACGGCGGTGCTTGCTTTCAAGCCCTGGAAATTCAACTCAGACTCACTTTCTATCCTTACATCCTTACATCACCAGGAACCCCCTCCAGGGCGTTGTGTGTGTATGCCTGTTTTAAAAACAAGGAGGAGAGCAGCGGAGCTTCAGGACTTAGCAGGGCGACCCGCACACGCTAAAAAAGGGGATAGGACTCTTTTGAGGGGGCCCAGAAGTCGGCATATCCTCCACCCCAACACCCAAGTTCCCGCGCAGATAGAACAGGATTTTCACAACTGCTTAAAGATCCAAGTGAGCGCTGCAGAAAGTTCCACCACTCCTTCCACCCCGACCTCAGGCTTCAAGTACAGAGCTCTGACGTGGGAGGGGGATATTGTGAATTTCAAAATATCCAAAGAAAATGAGGGACCTGCGTTTACTGGTCTTAGGCACCGATTCCAAGGGTTTGCAGCCCTCTCACCGCCTAGCCGGGCGTTTCGGCTGGGCGCAGGAGGTGCGGTCCCGGACCGAAATGTCCCTGCGCGCGGTCTCTACGTCCCCGGGGAGCACACAGAAAACGCCGTCACCAGTCGCTCCGAGGCGCGTGGCAGGAAAGAAACAGCACCTCGGCTAAGGGGCGAGCCTTTGGCACGGGATTTACAAAAGCAAAAAGTCTGCAACCTAGCGGCCGCTTTCCACACGACCTGCCCAAGTTGTTCCTGTCGCCACCACCTCCAGGTTTTGGGGGTCCAGCCCCAGAGCCGCACGCAGTCGCTCTCCATGAAGCAGCATAAGCAGGGGAGATGGGGGAGCCGCAGCCTTCGCCTCAAGCCGCGGAAGGCGCCTAGAGCGGAGACCGCAGCGGGTCTGTCCCCAGTTCGGAGGCACAAAGAGCGCCCGTGGTTGGAAGGCAGCGACCGGAGAGCAAAGAAAAGGCTCTCCAACTTTACCCTAGGCGCGCTGAGACCCGGTAGGTCAGTGCTCCGGTGTGTCGGTCGCACAAGCACAACTTTTAACAAAAGGAAGCAGCGACCGCGCCTCACTCGCCTAGATAATGCTTTGGTTGCTAAACCGGATCGCCGCCCCTGCCCGAACGCACCCTCCGCAAAAGCAACCCAAAACTCGCAGGCAGCCCTCTCCCACCAGCCTGCACCTCGCTCAAGCCTCAGAACCCGCACCACCCACATCCCAGGCAGCCCCCTAGCTCAGCGCCCTCCACCCCCAAATAGCGGCAAGGGCTCCAAGCGCAGGTGAGCGGGGCAGGGCTCAGGAGAGTCGCGGGGACGCCTCGAATCTTCCCGGAGGCTGAAACACATGGGGACTGGAGGCCAGCAGCCAGCAGCCAGCGCTTCGGACACACCCCGGCGTGTTCGAGCACTGGGGGACCCCGGCTGCAACGGGGAGCGCGGCCCGAATGCCCGTCACACTCTCCCACCTGTCTGGACGCGGAGCAGGAGGAACAGGACGCCGAGAAAATCCCAGGCGCCGCGAGCGCCTCTCATCGCGGTGGCTGCGCTGAGATCCGAGCTCCGTGCCGCGTTCCAGCTCTCGCCCGAGTGCACCGAGCGCGGCAAAGCCGAGCCCCCAGAGCCGCGAGCGCCGAGCTGCAGCCCCTCCTCCAGCTCCCTCCCCCTGCGCGCCGGCCACGCCCCTCCCCGGAGCCCCTCCACGCCTCCCCCCCCGCTCCCTCCCGCCCGGGGCTCGCTCCCGGCGGGCGGTGTCTGACCCCTGCTCCTTCGACGTGCTAATCCCGGGGGTGCGGAGCCCGCGGGGCAGCGGAGGGCGCGCCGACCACCGCCGGCAGCTCGCGACCCCGGAGCCGCTGCACCTTTCTACCTCGCCTCCCCAGTGTTGTGGTGGGTTCGCCGGAGGCGGTTCCGGGGCGAGGGTGGTGCTACCCGCACGCTTTGTGAAGCCGGGCACCCGCGCACAGGAGGGCACGGGCCCGCCACCTGGCAGGTGCTCCCAGACAATAAAGGTCCGCCGCCCGCTCCTCGGGCATGCTCGGGAGGGAGCAGGCTGGACGCCGCGGGAGGTGAAGGAGGTGGGGAGACGGAAATTGAGGGGGAAAGAGGGTTAGAAATTGGGCCCTGACGTTCTTCTCCATTCTTACTAGTTGAGGAGGGCCGAGCTGGCGCCTGGCACCGCGGTAACAGGCTGAGCTCGGGTGTAGCCAATTCTTTATGCTCAGTTTCTCCACCTGCTCTTAAACCTGTAATAACACAGTTGGTTTCTATTGGTCGACGAGGCCTCCGCCCAATGAGCCCCTGCTGAGACTTTTGTGCAGATAGGGGCTTTGGAGTTGGGAGAGATGAGTTTCCAGAAGTTTGCTCTAGAAGCCTAGGTTTTGAAACCCACTTGCGTCTAAATCATTGTGCTAAGCCCTCTGGGCGATTTTTGCCTCTTCACTTCACGGTGTTTCTGCCTCTCTATCAAAGGACGGTTACAAGCCGAGTTCCTCATAGCCGCCCTAGGCAGTATGAGGAGCAACATCATTCTGGAACCTAGCCAGGTTCCACAGCCTAGGAAATGCTTTACCCAAGGTAACAACAGTATCTGTATAGCTTTTTATAATTTCCCTCATACTGAATATTATTTAGGCTCACAATAACAGATTTGTAGGTAGGGCAGGATAGATGAGTATTTTCGTTCTCAAGGTGGCCCAAGATCTCACAGCTAATAGAGAGGAAGTGATCCATAATTAATAATGAATTAGCTCCCCTCCCCATTTCATTTAATATTAAAAATTCTCCTGTGTGATGTTGATGGGACCCAAAGTTGGTTTAAGAAAAATGATTTTTAAAGCTAATCACTTAATTATTCTAGATCAGTAAGTGCACTTGCCTCCCTTTAAACTTATTTCTACATTCAACAAGCAGTTATTAAATGTCCACTGTGCAGAGAGGCGGGGCTCCCAGGTCCTGGAATACTATTTTGATGGACAGATATGAGCCACAGTGCTTATGGTGGAGCCTGGATAGAACAACCCCCCCTCCACCCACCCCACCCCCTCACCCCGCAGTGTCCTAGCTAATGGTTCAAGTTATGCAACCATGGGAGAACTGAAATTCAAGCATCTCTGAGCAATTGGACCACATCTTATTCTCAGGAGGACAGAGATAAAAGATACCACTCAAAGCAATCATAAATTTTGTGAGATCTTGATTTATTTCTAAAACCCATTTTGTAGTGAGGGGAAAAAAAACCACTGTGTGTTAAAATATCAACATTATGCCAGAAAGAGAAAATTTACAATTTTCTTCTTCAATCAACTGATATTGGAGAGGATAATAAGTCTTCAGAAGAGAGGGTGAAAAGAGAACATATTGCAATTTAATTCTAGCAGGAAACTTCTATCAGAAAAAAAATTCAGAATAGGGAATTATACAATGTCAGGCTGTCATTCATGTTCATCATTCAAAAAAAACATATATTGAGCAGCTAGGTAGGCACAAGACCTACAAATATCAGTAAGGTAAAGGTCCCCTGCCTGAAAAACAATTGTGGTCGGGAGGGAAGATAGACACCCAAGTAAGAAACTATGATAGCAGTTGATAGGGCATGTATTCAGCTAGTGCACTCCAGGGTGGCCACATTGGTTGCTAGAACATTGAAATCATTCTTTCCTGATGGGAAAACAACCTCTCCCCTGAACACCTCTGTGCTCCCTTGCTCCAGTCCCTCCCCTGAGCATCCCCAAATCTCAGACTGCAATTAAAGAATTAATGCCAAGCACAGTAGAGATCCTGCAGTCCTTCTGCCCTTAGGGTTATTAGCTATTTTTAGTGATACCCCCTACCAGCTCTGTGCTCTGAGGAGGCAGACAAAGATGCTCTGAGTGAACATCCAGGGGAATGAATTATGCTACAGACCACGTCCACCGAAACATTTGCAGTGACGGAAATGTTGACTCTCAGGTGACATGTACAGTTCTATACTGTTTGTGGAACCCTGGGACCCTTCATGAATTATACTTTATATATTTTATCATTTTCCTCACTGTATTAGGGAGGACTGTTTAGGGCAACTTGTAGAAATCCAGCTGAAAATGACAAGCACATTATTAGGTCTTATAAGTGGGGTATTATTCCAGACATTCCTATATCCCAGAATTAAAATCAGCAGGACTTGAAGGTGGTGTGTGTTTGTGTGTGTGTGTGTGTATACACAAGCATTTTCTCCATCTCCATACTTCTGGCAATACTTTGCTGTGTTGCTTGCCTATCCTGCCCATTAGTGCCAGTCTAAGCAGAGCTTTTTTGCCTCCGTAAACATCTGCTAAGATAGCACCTACCTCCTCTAAGTCACATGCCCACCCAGAACCAGCCATCAACAGAGGAAGTATGATAATCAGCCAGGTCTGGGTGACATACCCAATACTGGAGTGAGGTGTGGGAATATATACCACCTGCAGCGCAAGGGCTAAGCCTGAGAGGAATGTGTCCCCAATGAAAAGAAAAATTGAGGTAGTCTTACCAGAAGAAGGAGAAATGATACTGCCCATGTAGAACAAAATCTTCACCACAGTCTCACATCCACCAAGTCTCTAACTTGAAAACTGTCTATATTTCAGATGGTAAAAGTAAAGATGCTTATTATAAGTAATAAAGAAAAAGAAGAAAAAAAAACACCCAAAAAATCACCCAAGATATAATTACTAGAGTTCATTTTGGTATGTTTCTTTCAAATGTTTTTCTTTCCTCTCTGCTTATTGTAAAGTTTTATATTGTAAAGATTTTTATATTTGCTAGCTTTCTATCCAATTTTTTCACTCATCATAATAAACACTGTCCTGGATCATTAAAAATTATTTGTAAATATAATGTATAATGGCTGTATAATGTTTATATATAGATATGACTTAATTCTGGATATTTAATAATTTCTCTATTTTTCCCAGGTTTTTGTTGTTGTTTTACTGTCAAATTAGTTGGCAGAGAAAATCTCAGTGAACAAATTATGGCCTCTGATTATTTATTTAGGATAGATTCCTAGAACCCAGATTAGTACAGGAAGGGCATAGTCCTTTTCAAGTTTGCTACTTAACTAACCTTGTTTTTCCAGTAAATATGTGTGAGACTTTTCTCCATAAACTGAAAGAAATAGATAATCCTTATTGATAGTCATTATACTAACAACCACCACCTAGAAGTTTGTGGGAATGAAAGAAAACAAGACATGCTCTTGATTCAAGCTTCCATTCCATATTTGTTGAACATCTTCTGTGTGCCAGATGTGCAATACTTTGGTTCCAGGAGAGTAAAGTTAGAGAAGACACAGATGCTGCCTCCATGGGATTTACAGTAAAAGAAGAGAAGTACACAGAGGCTCAGAGATTCAGTTGGCATAGGCACACCAACTGAGCTACGCACAGGAAGATGTTTGAACACAGAGGAGCCCCTAAATCATATTGTATAGTGATCCCATAAGACCTCCCTGAGAGCTTGTAATTAGATTCTGAGGAATCAGGAGGAGAGGACAGCAAAGCAGCCAGAGGGGGACTTTTAAGCAGTAGAAGTATGTGTGCAAAGAGCCTGGGGCATGAGAGTTCATGAAGAACCACAGAAGTGTCACAGGGGAGGGGAGTTAGGGTCTGAAGTATATTGGAAGGGGGAAGGCCACAGCAATAAAGAGAACCAAAGATGCCAAGAAATTTGAACATCATCCTCTGAGCTATGAAAAGCCACAAAAAGACTTTAAGCTGTGATAACATATACAGTTTGGAAAGATAGTGGAGAAGTTCAGAGAAGGATAATTTGAAAGAGGTCAAAAAAATAGTAAGGATTCTGTTACTATGATTCATAGGTACAGTGGCGACTTCAGTTAAGTCCAGGGAGCTGAGAATAAGAGTGAGGAGTGGGAGGTTTGTTTGGAAGAACTATGGGCCTCGACCTCAGTAGTTCTGTAGAAGGTGATTGGGCAGAACTCTGGGGTGCTGCTTTGCTTTTGGTATGAGCCTCAATGTGCCCCCCTTCAGCAAGACATGAGAGTTGTTTGTAGTGGGAGGGGCAGGATTTGGAGCTTGTTAGGTTTGAGCTCTACATAGGGCAGGAGATAGGGAGGTGGATGAGGTCATCGCCACAAGGAAAGCAGGGCTGAGGTCAATGCCTTGGGAAGCATCTTCATTGAAGGATAAGCAGGAAAAGAGGATCCCGCCAAGAACCCCATAAGCAGAAGTCAGAAAAGCAAAGGAGAGGGCTGTGGTGAAAGTAGACTTCCAGTAAAAGCATCCTATCTTCTAGGAGGTCAAATAAATAGATAAGCACAGGAAGGCATCAGTTGGAGTTTGTAATCATCCTAAGAGCCAACAGCTCCTCATACAATTCTGAATACTTTGTACATAGAACTCAGTCTTCTCTGCCTTTTGGTACTCTCTATCTCCTCATTTGAGGAAACAGTCATCCTGAAGTTAAATTTTGCACCAGGACTGGAACCCTCAAAAGGGCGGATGCCATAATCCCTTGTGCTTAAGTGAGAACTCACTTCCCCAGTTACTGGAGAAGTTTTCGGTGACTAAACACGAACTCTCACATCCAGACACACACACA